CAAGAATTATGTCAGGACAAGAAACATCTGCAGACTTTTGTCGGATCTGATGCAGTTGCAGGGAGAGTAACTACGTCGGCGAAACTTAAAGACTGCTCCAAAAGAGAATTGTCGAACCCTCGCAGCGGTGCGGAGAAAGGACGCCAGCTCTCACGTTGCGGCTCTTTTGACGAGATCCGGCCAAAAATTCAAATTCGACAAGGCCCAAATTCTCGCGAGAGGGAATAATCGTGTGAGCCGCGAGTTGCTTGACTCACGGTTTACGGGACCACAGTCTATTCACTAGGTAATTAACCACTCGGAGAGCGAGCAGGCCGTTGATCCAGGTGGCCAATCATTACGCTAGCATCCAAGAGACGGACGAGATTTCATCAAGTAACAACTTCCGTGTTGGCCATTGGGCCACTAGCGCACCAGCGGGCAACCCTTCTTGATGAAGGAGAGATCGGTTAATTAGCAGAGGTTTTCCGTAGCCTGACGACGGCATTCCATACATACTGCAACTTCCTGTGCACGAAGCGCTACGTTCTGTTACTGCCTCTGATGATGGGTTCGAGCGTGAATCCGAAACGTCAGACGAATATAGTCCTTGTTGCGGCGTTTGCTTCGATTTCTCACCAATTAGCTCCCGGAACTCGCATGTTCGCTTGTATCTGAGCACAATCTCAAGACATTTTAATGAAGCCTAATTTTTGACTTTTGAGTGCACTTCTATTCAGTCGCCTGCATTATTTGCAGGCGGCAAAAATGGCTGCTTGCGTACTATGAATTGTTTTTGTTAATTTTTGATGCTCATTTAAATTCAAACTTATATTGCGGAAAACATGCACAAAAATACCCCTCCTTGGATTCATTTGGTAGGAAACCACTCTTTGTTTATAGCTTTTGCTCGAAAGAGGGAAACATTTAAGTTTCAAACATGCTTTTAATTCCGAAATAACCTTGAGTCTGTTCTGTCGTTGCATTTGCGTTTAAGGTGTGAAACCTGCTGGCTGAATTCTTGCCATATAATGAAAATCGCATATTCCTATGTCCCACACAGAAAATATCATGCATGTTCTGACTAATTCATATGGCAGCATATGCTATTTATTTTGTAATTCGTTGGGTATATGAATAAGCATCTAGATATGATGCTTTAAATTGACATCCCGCGGTCTTAAAAAGTCATAGTTAAAAACTATTAAAGCCATAGGACACACTCTTTTCAAGTGCGATATATAAAGAAGATGTAATTTTGCTATAAAAATTGAAGCATATTTTTGCCTTATTTTCTGCACAATATACTTCATTTGTCAAATATCCAAGATCGGTGAAAGGCAGTCATATTACTTAAGTATTTATTTTTTGACGGAACCGCTTTTTGCAGGCGGCTAAAAAGAAGTGCATTCAGAAGTCCGGTGAGCTGAAATAACTTCAGATTATGCTGTACGCTGATCAATATTAAACCCCCGTTAAAGTAATCCTTCTGACTCGAAAACACCTTTTGGAATCCGTCTTGCATTTTATGAAACTGATAACTGAAAGCATATTCAGTTAGTGCTGACTGCTGGCCTTAGCCATAAGGTACCCGATCGGCTTTCTCCATGTTCCTGGCTTTGTATCAGAGATTCCTACATCACAGTCCGATGGTCGACATGATTTCTCTCCGAGCTTAAAAATCAAACACTGATCTCCGACGGCGGTGTTTTATGCCTTGAAACGTTGTATCCGTGTTTAAGTTCACACCGCCACAGACCGGTAAGATGAGATGTTTAGCGCACCAAAATAGCTGACAGGATGAACCCATTATATACTTTGCCAATATATTTTCCAATGTCGTTCAGGAAGCCGTTTGACATAGTTCGATTCTCGGGCAGAAATGCCTGGGCGGTTAGATGGAAAATACGCCAGTCAGTATAAACAGGGAATTGTCGGGCATCTTATTCTAGATGATTCCCCTCTCGTTTTTGCGGGGAGGGAAACGACATATAACTTACCCTATTTCTTTGATGTACTCAGGAAAACGGATGGACCCCAGTGCTGGGCAAAAAGGGACCACCATAAACATTTTCAGTAGAACCTGTAGCCGCCTTACGGCTTATAACTATACTATAATGTAAAAGACACAAATAGTGACGTTAACTGTTCATATTTTAATGAAGGAGAACAGTTTTTCTATAAATGACGCATCAGGACATCGTCCATGGACAAGGCATCATATTCAGCCACTGAGTACTACAGACCAAACAACAATCTGACCATGTTTCATTATCAGTCGTTCTATATTGAAAGAACAGATAATATCACGGCTGAGGTGCATTTCTTCGAGAAAAAACGCGGTTCGGAGTCACAAATGTCTCTACCTTCTCCTCATTTTACTTTTCTTCCTGGACGTTAACAGTTACACTTTACTAACACGCCGTAAGAAGACGATGGTCCTCATGACTAAGCGAAGAGCAGATGAAGAATAAAGAGGTCGGTCGAATCATATCTACTAGAGAGGTAGAAATATAGAAATACATATCAAAAGCATTTGCATTAACAAACGCATTCCACGTTCATTTGGATTATGTTTTGAATGAGATCACCAAATTTTGAAGGATTATCCCAATAATAAAATTTACATTTCGGAGAAAACCACAGTAATTCCTCAAGTATACAGTAGATTGGCTAACTCATGAAGTGTTAAGCGAAATTCCAAAATGCGTTTTCGGTTCGAAAAAATTAATCAAACAGAGTTGTAAATTAATCATCGTGCAGCACACTTATATAAAAATTCAGTTATCGCCGGATGCCGGCCTTCGTAAGAACTTCTTTCCGGCTGCGTGCAAAAATGTTACTCTGCAAAAAATGACAACTTAATTAACATGCATTCTTCTCATTGATTGGCGATGTCTTTGAAAATGCAATTTCACTTCATCAAAACCATGCACAAAACCATTCATCCTTCTTATCGTTCGGTAGAAAACGACGAATTCTTCCAATTGTATGCTCTACGAAGGGTATAATTCCGTTTTGCAAAACTTCTCCAATTCCCGAATAATTTTGAACAGGAACTGCTGTTACACTTGCATTCTGGGTTTCCAAACAACCAGCCGTATATTTTCTGCGTACGGAAAACCGTACATTTCGGTACGGTTTTGATAGGAAACTATATGGGTCCATGGAATTTAGCAGTGGGTTTGGGCCATATTGTTAACTTTACAAGCCACATTGATCAATGCAGGAAAATAACGTTTTATGAACGGCCATTTAACGATATTAAAACATGTCAAAATTCAAAACATTTTTAAAACCGAATTATAATCTTTTCTCGAGTATAATATTGAAAGAAGCGGAACTTCTTACTGAATGAGCAAGAGCATGAATATCTTTATGCATATCTTCTACGAAATGTAATTTAATCTTTAAGGGCATCGAAAATTAATGAAAAAAATGCATGCTACGTAAATTGTCATTTTTTGCAGACTTATGTTTTTGCATACAACCGAAAAGACGTTCGTTTGAAAGCCGGCATCTAGAGGTAACTGAAATATTGTAGAATTATGTTTTAAGATGACTAGCTTTACTACCGTAGTTTATTAATCTTTTTGAAGCGAGAATCCATTTGGGAATTTCAGTTGGCATTTCATGGTTTAGTCCACCTACTGTACATCACTTTGAAATCAACGTTTGAAAGTATTTGTCGATCACGTTTAAGAATTGGGCACAACAGGAGTAACACACACCGTATGGCGGAAATGGTCCCAGGAATTTTCCTTAGCCACTGAAAATGAGTACGGTCACCATATGTCCAAAAACATGAAATTTTCGACTGAACGTGCGTTTAATAATCACATACTGAAACGCACCAGGAGGTCGCATTTAAAATAACCGGATGACTAGGGAAGTTTTCAGCTAGTGCTGCACCTTCTTCCT